TGCAAAGAGAGCGAAAATCCAAAAAGGGTTCGGTTGCTTCACAGCTGGGGGAACGTGGCTGCACCGGGGTCTCAGCACAGAGTGTCTGTGTTGAAGGAGAGCTGAGCCTGTGGGCATAGGGCAGGGTCAGGGGCTGTGTGGGGACTGCCTGCTCTGCCCAGCACAACCAGTGCTGCTGGGGAGCACCCACTCCCCAGAGACCTCACTTGGGTCCATCCCTGGCCCCACCATGTCCCCATGCCCGGATGAGACCCGGTGCTGCAGCACCCATTCCTGGTACACAGCACCAGAGACACAGCTGGGATCAGGGACACCCAGATCTGGGGACAACCTCTCCTCACCCTCTCCTCCTCAAAGCTGATGAGGCCTTCATCATCGGTCTCCAGGTCCTCCTGCTCTTCCACCACGAGGGCCCGCAGCTCAGTGGGGGCAGCCCGGGGGCGCAGCAAGCTCAGCACACGCTCCAGGGGCGACTGCAAGGCGCAGCTTGGGCTCGTCTCCTGCTGCTCCAGGTTGTCACTTTGCTTCTTGGCAAAGTTCACAAATACCTGGGGGCAGGGGCAGAAGAGTTAGAGCCACCCCTCACCTACCATCTGTGCCACTGGAGACAGGCCCCAGAGCATCCCACAGGCTGTGGCCACCACCATGCTCCCACCTAGCTCCACCTCCCATCCCAAAGGCAGTTTCTGCCAGGCACTTTGGCATGGCCACCCTCCCTGGGGACACATAGCCAGCAGCCCATGCCATCCCCTGTCTCACATTGTCCAGTGTGGTCTGGCTGACGGAATAGTCTTCAATGCCCAGCACGTCCACCACCTGCTCCATCTTGCTGAAGACCTGCGCCAGCGAGATCTGGTCTGACTTCAGCTGGTACTGGGCCTTGGTGTGGTGCCGCTCCTGAGGGACATGAGGTGACACCTGAGCCCTCACTCCCTGACCCCTCCAGGGGTCCCACAGAGGTATCCCTTGGAGGATGACAGCTGCTTGTGCCGTGAAGCAGGGGCTGGCAGGGGACAGCACCACCACCACAGGGAGCTCACCTTTAGGACAGCTTCAGGGAAGTTGCGGTTGAAGAATCTCACTACCTCCTTGACATTGAGGCTGGACTTGGTGCGCACAGTAATCATGTAGCCATCGCCAAACCTGCACATGGACAAGCGACCCCATGAGGACCCACTACCACCTGCACCTCTGTGGGGAAGGACCCCATGGAAGAGGACGATGCTCCCTGGCAGCTGCTGCACCCACCAGGGCAGTGCCAGGATGCTCCAGTGAGCTCGTTCCCTGCCTACCTTCAAAGCAGCAGCGCTCACACACAGACACCTTGCTCTGTGTGCCACACTGTTACCCACTGCCCACAGCTCACATGGGGTGCTAGACCCCCACCGGGCACTTACCGGTTCTTCAGGTGCTGGATGCTGCCAAGACACTTAAGCCGCCCGTTCACCATGATGGCCAGGCGAGTGCAGAGCGCCTCGCACTCCTCCATGCTGGGAGATAGAGCAGGCTTCAGCAGGGTTACATGGGGACACACCATGGGGGCTCCCCACACCTTCACCCAGGTGCTGTAGCTCCACCACCAGGGATAGCAGAAGGCAAGAGGGTGTCCCGGGTTCCCTCTGCTGCCTGCCCCAGGGTCCAGAGACCTCCCCACTCCACAGCACCCAGGTGCCTGGAGGCACCACAGGCACAGCCCGAAGCCCCCTGGACCTGTGAGATGTGAGCACCACGGAGCGCCCTGTTTTGATGACATCCAGGATGAGGTTCCAGAGGAAGCGCCGTGCCTTAGGATCCATCCCCGTGGTGGGTTCGTCCTGGGGGACAGACAGCGTCCTCAAACATGCCAGCCCCTGGGACTCTGCCCTTCCCCTCCTGTCACACCATCCCACACCCCAGGACACACATAGCGGACCTGGGGGCAGGCAGCTTGCATGAGGGTCTTTTCTCCACCCCAGTGCAGTGCCAACCCCAGGGACAGGTGGTGGGTGGGAGGAGGATCCCATGGGCAGGGTGCTTGAGGCCATAGCGCACCAGGAAGATGAAGGCCGGGTATCCAATCAGCGCGATAGCTGTGGACAGCTTCCTCTTGTTGCCCCCGCTGTAGGTGCTGGCAGGTTTGTCAGCGTACTTGGTCAGCTCCAGCTTCTTCAGACATGGGGGGGGCTGCCATCACCTTGCCAACGCCACGAGATGGCAGAGCTGGCAGCAGTTACACAGTTGAACTCCATGACACAGGCCAGCAGTCAAGGGACCACAAGCCATATGACAGCCAGGGGAGCCCCATGGAGCACTCAGCACAGCTGTGAGTGTTGCTGGGGATCTGCAAGTGTGTGTGCCCAGCCCTGGTACCCCATGTGGGTGCACCACCAGGGCAGCTCCACCGTGAGGACACCAACACTGGCTGAGGTCCCTGTTGGAAGCTGGTGAGATACCATCCCCATGGCACAGCACCAGCCCATGTCGCCCACCCAGGCTCCTACCCGCTCCTCATCCTTCCAGGGAATGCCACGCAGGCGAGTGTAGAGCTCAAGGTGCTCCTGGGCTGTCAGCTCATCGAAGAGTGCATCGAACTGGGGGCAGTAGCCCAAGCTCTGCTGGACCTGCAGGAGCTCCTTCAGGATGCTGCGGGAGAGGAGGAAGGGGATGTGGGGAGAAGGAATTGCTTTTCAGGAGCACCCCATTACTCACCCCCACTTTCACATGCCTTTATATTGGAGCACTTGCTACCAGGTAACTTACAAGAGGCAGCCTGGGCCAAGAGCTGGTGTCACTTGCCCCCTCCCAGATGGTGATCAGCCCAGCAGGACATGGCGGCAGCATCCCGCAGAGCCACAGGGGCAGACTCGCACTTCCTTCATCCTGAGAGACCCTGATCCATCCCCAGGACAGCAGGCAGTGCCCACCTCCCACCCAGCTCATGCTGCCCAACCTGTGCCCATTGATGAAGGCCTCTCCACCCGTGGTGCTCTCGTCCCCTGTCAACATCTTGAAGGTGGTGGTCTTGCCCGCTCCGTTGACACCCAGCAACCCGAAGCACTCCCCAGGCCGCACACCAACACAGAGCCGGTCCACAGCCAGGATGCGCCCGATCTTGCGGGACTTGTATACCTGTGGGGCAGGGGATGGGGACTCAACCCACCCAGAAACACCTGGACCCCAGCCCCAACCCACAGCTCTGAGGTGTCTCCTTGCAGCCCCAGCACATCCCCCACCGCTGCTGCACCTTGGTGAGGTTCTCAATCTTCAGCATGTCGTTGTCAGCATCACCACGCAGGACACGGTGCCGCTCATTGGCCACGTCTATGTCGTCCTCAATTGGTTTGGTGGAGACGGGCAACCGCCTGCAGGAGGGTGCACATGGGGATGCAGACATGGGAGCTGTCGGCCTGCATCCCTGCTCCCAGCTTGCACCCCCAGAGGGGCAGCCTAGAGCTAAGGGGTCCTGACAGCAAAGCCCTTCCCATGCGTGTCCCCCCAGCCTGCCTCCAGTGCCCAGCCACACTCACTGGGGCTTCCGGAAGAAATTGTACTGGCACATGATGGTGATGAAGAAGCCGACAAAGCCTTCGATTGTCATGGCAACAAGCCCCCGTGTCACGATGTCCCATTCAAAGGGCGATTTCATTTTATCAAACTGCCCTGAGTGGGAGGAAGAGGAGAGAGCGGCTGGGGACACCTTCCTGTGGGAACAACCTGGCTGCACGTCTTGAGCTGGCCTGTGACAATGACACTGTCCTGCTCTGCTCCCTTCCCTGCCGCAGCTGCCTGGTCACGAGGATTTCCATTCACAGCACGTGGGCTGTTGAAATCATCTTCCAACCTTTCAACCTCAGTAGGACGAATCAACCCACTGAGAGTAGGTATGGGATGGATTTGTCAGATCCCACCTTAAAATTGTCCCTCGTGCTGCCAGCGACACCTGGGTTATATATGGAAGCTGCTTGAGAAGCAGAGAGCAGCAACAGCTTTTTGAGGCCAAGCTGAAGCTGTGAGCAGCAAAAGGCTCATTCTGGCTGGGCAGCACAGCCCTGCAAGCGAGAGACCACACCTGGAAGGAAAGAGTCCTTGCAGTCTCTATCCCTCATACTGCACAGCCCCACCATGAGGCCACACCACGGCCCGCCCACACCAGTGTGCTGCAGAAGCAGCAGAAGCACACAGCTCTGCCAAGGCTCCTCTCCCCATGGGACTATTCAGAGTAGCCCAAGGAACCATTTTCAGCATCTCCACCACTAGGACATGGCTGACTGTCAACTGTATCTCTTCCAGTCTAGTCCACATCCCCTGGCTTTTTGTTCCACAGTGCTCTGGGGCTTGGGACACCTCACAGGGCAGGTGGAGGGGATGTGTGGGAACCCCCAGCACCACATGCCCTGTAGCAAAGGAGGGAAAGAACAAGAGGCCCTACCAATCTTGGCATAGTATTCGTTGATGTACTCATTATAGGCCATCTCCATCAAGCCGTGACCCAGGTTGTAGTTAGGGAATACAAGGAAGCAACTCTTCAGGTAGCTGTTCACCACCTTCAGATCCTGTGAGGATGGGCAGAGAGGACACGACCATCAGAAACACTCCTGAGGGCTGTGAGAGCATGGCAGGGTCAGGATCCCCACCACGATATAGTTCTACTTCCCTGGCAGTGCTAAGGTCAGGTTGGATAGGGCTTGGAGCAACATGATCTACTGGAAGGTGTCCCTGCCCATGGCAGGGGGTTGGAACTGGGTGAGCTTTAAGGTCCCTTCCAACACAAACCAGACTGGGATTCTAGGATTCTATGACACAGCCCAGTCAGGTCCCACAGCAGACCCTGCTGGGAGCAGGAGTGTGGAGCAGAGACCTCCCAAGATGCCTCCCAGCCTGAGCTGTCCCACAACCTGATGACAGCTTCTCCCTTCCTGATGGCCTGAGGCGGAGCTCTGAATGCCATACCTTGTCATGCTCAAAGAGCTGCAGCAGGAACGTGGCGACAGTGGCCGTGATGCCAATGAAGAGGTTGATGACGATGAGGAAGACGTAGGCGGAGCTGGGCACCTCGAACCAGAAGGAGGCAGGGTACATGATGGGTGTGATGGACCAGCTGGGAAGGTGAGTGGCAGGAGCACATGTCATTGTGGCAGGAGAGGAACAAGGCAGTGCCAACCTTGGGCTCACCCATCTCCCAGCCCTGCCCTCCCTGGGCTCTCCCACCCCAGCCCTTGCAGCCCACCAGCTATGGGAGCTGCAGAACATCAGCCAGATGAGCAGCCCCAAGGCCAGATCCTGCCAATGCAGCCACAGAGCAGATGGGGCACGGCAGGGACCCACCAGCACATCCTGGCCACCCCTCTAAGCAACATACCCGTAGAGCAGGAAGAGGGAGAGGACGGCGGGGAAGTTGGTAGGAGAGGTATATGCCGGGAGGTCAAACACAAACAGGATGATTATGCAGCATGTGGCTGGCACCAGGTAGTTCAGCTGGAGAAGACAGGAATGTCTGTGACTGCCCAGCCACCCACACAGCCCTAGGGGCTCGGCCATGGGGTGGGACTATGCACCCTGCTTACCATGTCCCACACGTAGTTGGCCAACCAGTAGATGACAGGGTCACAGCCGCTCACAAACTGCAGATGTTTGGCCTTGGTGGCCTTTTCGGCCACCAGGAACACCACAAAGCTGGCTGGAACAAAGGACATGGCCACGATGATGAAGATGGCGATCACCACATCGGTACCTTGCAGGCTACATGGGGAGCAAGGAGGAGAGCAGAGATCCCGTCACCCTCAGCTATCCAGAGAAGGACCACCTGTCCTGGTGTGGGACAGGGCATGGCACAGGGACTGCCACAGCACAGCCACCCGGTCCCCTGCCATGCAGCTTGCAGGGCAGAAGCCTCAGCATTGCCCTGCAACCCACGATGAGGAGCATCCTCCCTCCCTCAAACCCACTCCCTGGACCTACAGGTAATCCAGGGACAGGCTGGCACTCGTCTTGTTCATGGGGTGGTTGGTGACTGTGATGCCTGTAGGATGACCCAAGAAAAAACACAGGAGCATAAAGGCTAGGTCAGCACAAAAAGTCTTGCCCCCAGCCTGTCTGGTCCTGGCTCTGAGCGAGAGGACAGGTTTCCTCCCTGCAGCTTGGCAGGAGCTGAGCTGTCTGAAGCCTCCAATCACCTTGAGGCCAACCCCTCCGTCACCAGCTGGCAGAGAGCATTCAGAGACACACTGCCCAGGTGCCTCCAGGCAGCACTTTGGGACATTCTTCCCAGCCCAGATCTGAGAGATTTGCATAGCCCAGTGGGCACTAGACTGCTTGGTCCAAGGCAGGGACATTGCACTTTAGAGCCTTGTTGGACCATGTCCTAAAGCTGTTCCCGCCCTTAATTGCCTCCAGGTCCTCACCATAGGCAGCAGGGTTGCCTTTGCTCTTAGGCAAGTTGGCTCGCAGGATGGCGTTGTTGAGAGCATTGAGGTAGGTGGGCATGCTGTGATAGCCCTTGTTGTTGTAGAAAACCTGAAGCAGAGAAGAGTGGTGGAAGGTGGCAAGAGAGCTGGGCACATGGCATCTGTGCTGGAAGGGAGGGATGGGACAGCCACAGGGCAGGCTTCCTGTGCTCTTGGCTGTGAGGAGAGTAGGTCACTGCTGACCATGCTGGGCCAGACCTGCTGGGGTGGAAGCTGCAGAACACCCTGTGGGCAAGAGCCCCACCAGGTTTCTCAGTGAAGAGCACTGCTGTAGAGCAGGGTGAGAAGTTCATGCTGTGCCCATAGCGCTGCTGCCCCCTTTTCCTCCCCATCCACCCGTGGCTGCCCCTGCCCTCCCATCCCCAGCCCCATGGCACAGTGTGATCCTACCTGGGCCGTTCTCCGCACAGCGATCTTGCGCACCATGGCAGGAGCCCTGGCCCCGAAGGAGGCTGGGATGGATTTCTGGATGTTGCCGAAGGTGAGTGCCCCGTACCTGTGGGACGAGGCACCATTGAAGAGCTGTGACTGCTGTCCCCCACCTCCCAGAGCGGGGCCTCTCAGCACCCCAAGAAGGTGTTCCCAAGCCCCTCGGTCCCCCAGCCCTGCTCCACAGCTCAGGGCGAGCCCTCCCAGCCTCCCTCTTGCCTGTGCAGCCGGAAGCGGTCCGAGGTGTAGAGCAGATACTCAGAGACATTGCGCCCTGTGATGTCTGCCAGGATGTCCCCTGTCACCACCTTCATCTGTGGCGGGTGAACTCCGGGGGAAGAAGAAGCCAGTCCCCTGCATGGAGCACGTGCACTTGATGGGCTCGTGGACAACGTGGGGCAGGGCAGGAGCTGAGGTCACAGTCTCTGAGGAGCAGAGAGGGCAGCTC